AATATGTTGTTGTCCTTACTTATACTCAAGCTAGATATTAAAAATCTACAATTGTTCTTTTCAACAATGATATTGTAATTTCATATTTTCTAGATATTAGTCATGTAGCAAGGATCAATGGTCAATCCAAACAACCATTGGCTTTCCCAATAGATAGTGTTACTATATCTTTCTAGTATGTAGAATTGCTAATTGCTCTCAATTATGTACAAAGTAATTGCGCTTTGTCCTTCTGAGCTTGCGTGACTCATATACCATAGGTTGAAGACCCCTACCAAAGTCTTGTTGAAGGACTGCTCCAATTGCAAAGTCAAAAGCATCAATGTCAAGTATATAAAGAAGATTGAGATCATATGGTTGCAATATTAGAGGAGTTATGAGTATCTCCTTTAACCTATCAAAGGCACTTTGCTACTCTAATTTTCATTTAAATGAGGCACCTTTCTTCAATAGGTTTGTCAATGAGGCAACAATGTGTACAAATTGTAGAACAAAATGGTGATAATATCTAATAGGGCCTAAAAATGAGCAAAGTTTAGAAGCATCTTTGGAGGTTGGCCAATCCTCCATTACTCTTATCTTATCCTACTCCATGCGCATGCCTTCAAAAGACACCACATGCCTCAAAAAGATGACTTTTGACTTCCAAAGTTCATATTTTTATTATTTATAATAGAAGCAATTATCTTGTAACTAGTGTAGCACTTCTTATAGGTATTATTCATACTTTTCAAAGATTTTATTATATATGAGGATATTATCAATGAAGACAACTACAAACTTGTCCAAAAGGTTCCAAAATAATTTGTTCATGTGATCCATGACAGAGGCTGGAACATTGGTGATGCCAAATGATAAAACAAGCCATTCAAAATGTCCATAGTGCATTCAAAATGCTGTCTTTTCAACATCTTCTCTTTTTCATAGAACTACAATCCACAAGTACTCAATATGGCTATCCTCTTAGTAGTTCCATTAGATGCACTAATTGACTCTTTTTATAGTTGTTTGAAGCCATGTCATTTGTCTTTGAGAGACAGTAGCTATTTCCAATATTGGCCCTTGGCACCTTTATTGGGGACCCTCATTTTCCTACTTTATGTCATTATTGATTTAATGACTCTCAAGACTATGAATCTACCTTATTTTATTGGTGATTAAATTTTAAAATTTTGAAAAACCTTCGATCTGATGGCTTAGCTCCCAACAATAAAAATACAATCTCTTTTGTACCAATATTTGTCGTCTTTGTAGTCTTAATGATCCTTGTAGAGCATCAATCTCCATTGGCATTGGTTGTTGTACCATGGTATTAAATAGTGGCATAGGACTTTGTACTATAAGTCATACTCTATAATTTTTGAAATCTATAGGATCGATCTTCTTTGCAATCTTAATTGCCTCTTCAAATGTTTGTGGATCCCTTAGTTCTACCTCTTACTGGACCCCATATTTCAAACCTCGTAGACATCAATCTATCATCTTTGCCTCTAAAACATTATCAATTTGGAGACATAGGAACTTGCATTGTAAGACATAATCTTGCACCAATCTAGATTGTATAAGATTTGCCTACTAAATGCATGTTATCTTCTCCACATTGATGGACCAAAATTAATTTCTAAACTTGGTCTCAAACTCCTTCCAATCACAAAATTCTTTTTGAATTCTATAGCTTTGAACTCGATGTCACCACCAAATGGCCACTGCATCTTTCAAATAGTTGGCTATATATATAATTCTTTTAGTAGTATTTGTCCTAAATAGTTGTAAGTATTGTTTCATATTAAAGAGCCATTGACATATATCTTTTTATCTTAAAGTTCTAGAATATGTAGTAGGCTTACTCAATGTTAGCCTAACAAATGTTGACTTTCTTATCCTAGAGGCTTCTATTTGTCCTTGCAAAGTAGCTATCTAGTCTAAGAAGTGCTGTACTTGAGCCTCCATTTGAAATTGCTCTGCCATTTGTCTCATGTTGTAATTTTCTTGTTAGACTCCACTATTATAATACCTTCTCATTTTTTAGTTGATTTTTTAAAAATAGCTTGTTGTAGCTTCAATATAGTATCCAATGTAATTACAATAATTGACTTCAAACTAGATGATGGCCATAAACACATTATCAAAGAATAATCTAACACTTGCTTTGATAGCAATAAAATAAGACCAATCTATCTTAAGAGTCTAAAAATCTTTTAATCTACACCAACATAAAATCTCATCACAAAATAAGATACAATGGATCAAAACAAAATTGAATAAAATTAAATAAAATATGACACAAAGGACAAAATTGAGAAAATAGAAATAAAACAGAAAAAAATCAAACATGAAGATGCAAAACCAAACTTTACTAAGAGAGATGATCCAAAGCCATACCTAATTAGATGCCCCAAAAGATCCGATTAGTCCTATTTATACTTTGCTCTACCACCCTGGACTTTTTAAAATATTCCTAGATGATGGACTCTACTTAAATAACAATCGTAAATTCTTTCTAGAAGGTTCTATGATAAGCTCCATTTAGATAACCATCCAAGCCTTTTCTAGAAGGTTCTTTGTTAGGCCCCACCTAGATAACCATCCTAAATCTTTTTTAGAAAGTTCTATGGTGGGCCTCACCTAAATAACCATCTTAAGTTTTTTTTAGAATTTTCCATTGTAAATCCTATATAATCCATTAACTTAGTCTTAATTTTAAAAACTTTTATAATTTATCAAACATAGTTCCAACTATCTATCCCTATGTGTCAATAATATAAATATTTTATTTATATCTTATTACATTCATCTTGGATTTTTTATATTAACTTCTTGGTTTTGTAAAAATAATTATATTGTAAAAACAATTGATATGAAAAAAAAACTCTATTTGAGAAACACATGCAATTTGAATATTATCACCTCCATTTTCATTAGCATTCATATCTCTATTTCTCATTTAATCATGCCATCTAAGTTTTCATTGAAAAAATAAAATATATAGTAGAGTGATAAGTATGCAAGATGATCTTTATGAATTTGTTACAATGTATTTCTTCTCCATTGAACAACTATATTTCTCACCTCTTTTTTTTATTTTTTGTTCCATTGCCTAGCAAAACAACAAAAACCTCATCAGAAGTTGGAAGATTATAATGTCTTTTGTCAATATCTTTATTAAAGTGAAGATGTATGCATATATCATCATTGATCTTTCTTCTTTCTCTTCCTTCAATTAATATTTCATGAGCTTGTCAATAAAGTGGAATAAATACATGATATTTTCTTAAACATTCTTGAAGCTTCCACATAGTCTGAAATGACAAATTTTTGTTATATGTCATCTTTGTTTCATGAGCAATATTGGGATTATAAATATAAAGTTGCATATAACTTGTCTCTACACCTTGTTTTAATAAAATTGTATCCATTTGATACCAAAGCTCTTGATATATGCAAAATTTATATAGACCACATCCTTGCAATATAGTATTATCAACTTTTGCATCAAGAGATGTAAATGCATGTGCAAAATTATATTGTTGAATAGTCTTCCAAAACACCTTGCTTTGTTCATCTTGTCCATCAAGTAATTGTCTAATTAATAATAGAAGATTTTCAAGAAGTAAAACTTCAATCTTTCAATGAAAACATGTATCAAATTGTAAATTTAATTTTGTCAATAGTATAGTTTGTTCATCTATCCAATAGAGTGCCTTGCAATGTGGGCATTGATAGTCTATATTTTCAATATTATGACGACCTTCCAATCTTTCTTGTTCATAATGATTTTCATGACAAATTTGCTATACTTGTTCACTAATTTCTCCTACTATATCATATTCGCTTGCTTCTTCTTCTTCTTGTTCACATAAAATTGATTAGTCATGTTTTCTCACAGATTCATAGATTGAGTTATTTCTCTATTACCACCATCATTTTCATTAATCATAGCACCATGTCCTTCTACCTCATGTTCATTTTGCTCTTTATGTAATTCACCATGTCCTTCTACCTTATATTTTATTATTGAAATATATTGATATTGATATTATTATAAAAATATATTGATATTAATAATTTTCAATATCAATATATTTTAATAATAATAAACTCCACTCTTGCCAATCACCAAATACAATGTCAAAAAATAAAAGTACAAAAATACAAAATTATTGATGTAAAACTACAATGATTTTTAAACTACAAATTACTCATAAAAAAACCAAATTAAAAATATAAACTTCTTAATATTTATTTAAAATCAAATTATTATTTGCAAATTGATTGTTTGTACAATTGATCATATAAATATAGTGGTCAATTTTTTTTTTTTTTTTTATCTTTTCTAATCATGTAATTGTAATAAAAATTAAAAAATTATTAAGCATATGTATATGTATACACATAAAATCATAAACTTATATCTTCTTCATTTTTAATAACTTTAATGATGTTCACAAATGAGTTTAAGGTGTAAAGTGCACAAATGAGTTTGTAGTAATGGGCATGCACTGACCTATATATTTATATTATAAAAGTCATTTAGAAGTCAAATAAAATCAAAATATTTTTTGAAATTTTCTTTCGATCATTTTATCTTATTTTTAAATTTTAATTCGAAAAATTGAAATGTCTGAATTTTGTTAATAGTAGATACACTTTTATTAAATTATTTTAAAATTATAATTATAATTATAAGATACATCAATCTGATACAACTAAATTACATTAAATACTTGTATTTACATGATATAGGTACTCATAAAAAATTAAAAAACATAAAAAACATAAAAAAAAAACAAAATCCATTATATCTTCAGAAGTTGTAGTTATAAAATTATGACTGAATTTTTATTTATTTTTGAAATTATTTAATTTGGATCTATTGATAACTTGCAAAAATAGTTAAAATATGCATGCACTTATACAAATAATATATAATGATAATTTAAATTACTCAGTGATTTGATATGAAAATTTAAATGATGATAATCATTTTAACAACAATAGAATCTGCTAAATGTAATGTAATGCACAGAATTTAGAAAATAAAAATTCTGTTTAAATAGAGTACACAATTATCAAATGTTTGTGAAAAATGTCTCTGTCCGATAAATTTTTATCTAAAAGAATGAATAAGAAACTAACAAACACCAAGTGCTGTACCTTTTCTGAATTTTTTATTTTATTTTTTCTCATTTGTAATTTATGAAACCTCCAAGCTCAATGAATTTTCATCATTGTAGTCCACCGCACTGAAGAATTAATTTAAACCAATTCACGCCATAACCACCCCCGATGTCGATTACAAAAACTCTGTCTCTCTCTCCGCCTTCGCAATGGATCGGTGTCGTTCTTGAGAAAATGCTTGTAACCCTAGTCTCTCTGTCACTCTCTCTCTGTCCCTTGTGCGCTCAAAGCTCGAAGGCCAGAGTAATTGTTTAGTTGGGGTGATGCTTCAGTGATGCATCACAGCTGCGATGCCCTTCCCTAGTCGTATAACGGCACAGCACAACCGTTATGTTCTTCCAATGTCACTTGCGGGGGATATTGCCTCCTATAGCACTAACCTAGAACAATTCCATGAATTCCCCCTCATCTAAGCTAGCAGATTACGGGTTTACAGTAGTTCCACATGAAGAGAAGAAAAGGGTACAACAGTTCTCAAAAAATAAAAACATTCAGCAGAAGTAACTCACCTGTGGACGGGAGAAGAGAGAACAACTAGTAATCAACTGGCAATCTTGGCCCAATTCAAAATTATCATACTTCAAGGTATATCCAGCATTCACAATCCTTCGTCGATTCAAGTAAGTCTCAAAGAGATCATTATGAAGTGAATCCAACAACTGAAACTCAGTATTAAAGAAAATTATCTCGATTGATATATCAATGAAGATGTTAGAGACCGTGCTGATGTCATTCATATATTTACATCGCTGCAGCAATCCACAAACGCCACTGAGCCCCAGTCAAATCCCTCCCCTGCAATCCACGTGCAAGCAAGAGAGAAGCCCCAAAAGGCCATTCAATTACTCAGAAGACTAAATACATCTCACGCCATGCGCTGTGCTGGATGTTTTGGCTCCACTTCAGCTCTTCGTCCTTCAAGTTCAACTTTTGTGCATTCAAAATACGTTGCTGTTTGGCTTTCACCTTTTCATGCAAACCTGTTTATTGCTAGTTAGTAAAAAAAACAACCTCGTCATGTCATCCATACTAAAAAGACAGCATTCAATCCCCGCATAATCAATTTCGTCTGTAAGGGAAGTACATTTGTGTTACTTCAAATTCACACCAAAAATCACGTGATGGAAAACTTGATACAAAAAGCTAGGAAAATCCACCCTAAATCAGCTCGATTTTTAAAAAAATTGCTCTTAAGTCACCAGTGCTCTTGCAAACAATGCACTCGAAGTAACAGAAGCTCAATGGTCGCTGCTGAGAGTTCGATCCATGAATCGCAAAAAGGTTAACCTCCAACCTGCACAATCTCTTCAACTTCGTCACAACACAAACAAACCCTACCACAAATACCACAACAATACCCAAAGACCAAAGACCAAAAAATAAAACAACAAAATCCACAATCAAGCACAGAAGCTCATTGCTCACTGTGCTGTACTCGCTTGCATTGTGGTAAGAACAGTTTGATCGGAGCAGGACTATCACTGGAATGCTAAGCATAATGTCAAATGGATCAGTAATCGCAGTACAGGATAATGTTAGGACTGAGACCAAATCAAATATCAACTTCTTGAAATTCAACCATTTGGCTTCCATTGACTATTAAACCAATACAACCATTTGTTACACTCCTAAAATACTATTGGATTACTCAAACGCAGCTGACAAACCAATATTTGCAGAAAAATTAAGTATCGTCAGGTCGACAACGGCGTCACAGCTTCGAGAAAACAGACAAAGAACACAATTAACTTTAATAAATAAATAAATAAAACAACAGAAACAGAAACAAAAGTACATGAAACGAAACAACAAAAGGCAAAAACCCTCAACGGCGACAACAAAATCCAAAAACCTTGAATAGAAATCTGGAGGAATAAAAACTACATGTGGGTGACCTCATACCTGCAAACTTAGCAACTCTATGTGGTCCCTGCGGTTATTGCTTCCCTGATCCTCCCTAGCCCGCATGGAAATCTTAGAGTCCCTCAGTAACCACCTTTCAATCCAAGTGAATTGGAACTTCAACAACCAACTTTGGAGACCTGTCCAGCATTGTCAAATGCACAACGTTTAATGATTCCAACCTTCAAACCTACAAAGAACCTCACATGCACTCGCGCTTACGCACACATTTATATTTCTCTTTTGAAAAGACATCATGCTGCTGGCGTATTTACATATATACTTCGTCAATTGGAGCAAATGTATCAAGAGAATGACATACCTTTTGGAGAAAGATTCTTTACTTTCTTTGCTTTTTCAAGATCAACAGCCTTTTTCAAAGCTTCAACAGATTCAGCATCATCTTCCTCATCAAGTAGTCCTCCTTTTCGCTTTGCAGCCTGTCATGAAAACTTAGTAGTCAAAGTCAAAGTCCAACAGAATTCAAACAAGTAGATACTCCTAACAACAATGGCCACAATCCTTGATAAAGCATGCAAATACTATGAAACTTGTTGAAATTGTGACTCATGTACCGACATTTGTATTTTGAATGAATTAAGAAGTACGGTAGGAATTGCAGTAACTTGAGCATACCCTTTCTTTTTACCAAAATTTCATGTGTCATACTATCCCCTCTATTCACTGTCTGTCATCCCTATGAGATCACTTGCAAAAATCCTCAAAAGACCATGATAATGGAAATAAACTCCTTACTTTTGCTAAGCTTCACCATCTTGGCAGTTGTTTACTTTCCCTCGCTTCAGATTGTATCAGGCAGCCATTAAAAAACTTGATTGCCTCAAATTCTATACATGCACCAAAACCTTGTTCAGTATGGCATGTGATAGGTTTCCATTGGTACTCAGCACATTGGCCAATTTTGTATTTCAATTGAAGTCGTTCTTGTACCATGGTTGCTGCATAGTCCTCAAAACCTTTACATAGAAAACCAAATGTCATAAATCAGTAGGAGTGCAAACAACAAATTAAACCACATGAAACCAAATGCTTAAGTGTTCAGAATGATGAAATGATTACAAATAGGACATTCTACTATTAATTGCAAGGTAACTACATGATGACTAGGGATAGTGAAGTGGTCTAATTTACCACAAATCTACAATATATAAACTGGGGTTTGAATTGTTTCAACACATCAACAACCATGTAGTAACAACGTCAATAGAATTCAATAGAATTCAACTAGACACTTGAATCTTATCCTATGTGTATGCAATATTTTACCACAATGCATAAGATTTTTCATCACTTCCTTGGTATTGACAATCTCAATCCATGGCCTCAAAAGCCAGCACATTTGCAGTGATCTCTAGAGGCTAAGCAATTATCCAACCACTTTGTATTCTTTGGGTTATTAAAGTTCCCTCTCAACAACCAATCACAATCCATTTTTGTAGCTTTATCTTATATCTACACTACCTTATATAATATATATATTTATATATATATACACATCTTCTTAATTGAAGTAAGAAATATATAACTATATTTATTCATCGATCCACACATCCATCTAAATTATATTCTTTTATGGCATACAACAATATATTATTTCCAAAATAAAATTAGAGATTCTAATACTTACTCTCATTTATAATAATCAACAATGTACATATAAATATTTTAAATACAAAAAAAAAAATCAATGATTATAAAGTGTTATAGATCTTTATTTGCTTGATTAGTATAAATATATTATTGTCTCAAAAATGGTTTTTAATTTTAAAAAATATTGAAAAGAAACTAAATAAAATGGAAAACCTATGTCAAAAACTGATGTAAAAAAAATTAGTTTGGCACTTGATCTTTTGCTATATTTTGTCCCCAATAAAACATTGCTTTCTAAAAATGATATCGAGGTAAAAAAAAAAACAAAATCTAATAACCATATAAAAGGATATGAAACGGCATGTTCTTAATATGTTTTAACAACCATGCTAGTGTCATTTCCAAATGTAGTTGTTTATAAATAACATTGTGCCCAGTGTTTTATTTCAACAAGATTAGAAGAGTCAGAAGTGGTTGCACAGATTTCACAAGCCAGATGGGCACTCGACGAAGGCGGTCAAGGAATCAAGTACACACGTGGAGATGCAAGCACCCATTTCGAGGTTGATAAGAAGAGCACCAGCAGCGTGAAGGGCTCTGATTCGAATATTGAAGACCAGGGTGACGAACTCACAAGCATCGATGAGCTTGTTTGTGGACAATCAGGAATGTGTTGGGTCCCAGGGCAGACCACAAACAATCTCTGTCTACGTGCCAGAACAGACATGTTCCATTCCACCCAACAGGAATCATCACCATGTGCCGACCTCATTCTGCTCAGGAGAAGGGCAAAAAGCTCACTGGGTTATGGAACGAATGCCAATTGCCGCACATCCATTAGCTTCACTATTTGTCGGTTGTGCGTTTATCTAGGAATGCTGGTTCCTGGCCCGCAGTCACATGATTTGGTGCCCCTGGTCAGCCGCACATTTGACGGGCAGTGACCTGGGAACCGGCCGATGCATAGCATTGCTGCACAGTTGGCAATCTGTGGCGGAGACCTGGAGCTCTGAAACATGGCGCTAGAATCTAAGATACTATCGCAAGACGATGCTGCATCCTGAAGTTCGATTCTCAAATCAACGAGTTATTTGCGGGTCCAGAAATGGTTGACGGTATTAGAGCAGCTCCGCAAGCTCGTAATGCCTGTCTCAACACAAGGTTCACTAAAATGGTGACATGAGAATGTAGTTTTCCCGAGATCTTGGGTAAAAAGAATCAACGTCTGGGAGACTGAAATTGGGGGGGTTTCTGTACAACCGGGAGAGTTTCTGCTATTGCGCGTTCTTATATATGATTCCAGGCGCGTAACTAGCCACCTAGTCTGAGTAGTTCTATCTCTACTCTTCCTCAGACTGCACATTGTGGCCAGCGCAGAAGCTAAGGGACCTCCGTTGCTTACCACAAGGAAACCTGTTTATTATTTGGGATATACTTTACCATGGGCGACCCACTGTCGAAGTGGCTGTGTGGATGGAGTATATAGGGAATACAACTGGACAGGAGTACGGTAGTATGAGGCGTTGCATGAAAGGGTCGAAGTGAAGGGCATGGGAACCTGGTTTGCCAGGTAAGTGGGGCAAGTGGGGGGTACCAAAGGTGAGTACATCATTCATGAACTAAGGAGGAACTGGAAAATCCTGCTCATTTGCACGTCGATACAATATTGCTGAAGCTTCCAGCCTGCAGTGTAGTAACAATGCGTCAGCCCAGTCTCAACAATAAAATACCTGCACATCTTTCCACCATCAGCACAGTGGATTTCAAAATAATGAATGCAACAAGGCTGTCACTGTCTAGCTTACCACGTAGGTCTAACAACAGGTCTTCCAGTTGCCGTTGCCCAGTTCACCTGCAAAAGTAGTTCACAAGTCAGGGGCATCATAAATTTGCTATGCTGAAACGTTTTGTGCAGATTGCTTATTCATAGCTGAAAAAGCTTAGACTTCGGAAGGCACAACACAATCCAAAGATACCTTGTCAGTGCCAAGAGATATGGCAACTACATGAGTGACTTTATCATTAATATAGAGACAACAGCTCGCTCCAAACTGCTCAGCCAGTCGCCAAAGTGGGTGAAGGTGTGGATTCGCTTCTCCAACAGGAAAGATGCGACTAAATAGCACACGACAGCCATCGAGCACCCTTCTCTGTTCAGCAGCAAGGATTGCCCGAACATCCACTTCTCGCAATTTTTTGTTACTGAAAAAATTCCTATGAATCCTATCTATCACCTGCATAAAATATCACGGGATAGAACAATAAGAGCAGAGCCCTTAATCAGATCAGAAACTTCGGAGAACGATTGATAAGATCAATAGCAGTAGCGACGTTCAGAATCCAACCCCCGAAGCTGATGACAGCATGCCATCTACTGCTCTTTCGTCATGACCCACTTCCAAAAGTGATGGACCAAGAAGACCAAATTGTCGTCTGCTACTTGGGAAGTACATGTACCTGGACGCATAGGCACTTATACAAATTAGATTCATGAATGAGTTCCAGATACTGAGTGTTTCTACGAATATGCAGTTTCGAAACTTCTTCCAAGGACTTACCGCTCAACAACAATGAGATTCTCTCGATGATGCGGCCACACTCGAGATGAGTCATCAATAATAACCACTGCAGACTCCATTCCCAGAACACCATCGAGATCCTTGCTTTTATCTGAACCATCAACTTCATCACCTTTAGAAATGACTCGGCCGGAAAATAATATACCCGTGGGATCCAACAATTTAGCCATTTCAGTTGCGTAGGCCTTGTTGCCCATTGTATACACGTGCAACTCGTATAATTCGCTTGCCTGCAGAAGGACACCTGGTATATTAGTCGCTAATTCAGTTCCAAAAGCTGTTAGAAATAAGCAAAAACCATCAACATATAGAAAGTCCTTCAACATCAATTTAGCGATGTAGTTTGAGGCAAAGGGCAGGGATCATATCAATGCCCAACACTACAGACCTTTGCAAGAAACTTCCATATTCCAGGGCGCAACTTCGTCCACATGCTCATATGCGGAAATCGGTATAACTCCTGTTTCATGTTCGGGTCCTTAGTGGACCTGCTCCGCTCCATGTTTTCAGCTTGTCGTAGGCGTGCTTCAAACTCAGGTTCAATCTCTGAGAACTATTTTGAACACAGGCAAGTTGTTAATCACCACCTTAACCAATACATTAACTGATTCAATGAGATGCAACTTGCTCGTACACGCTAGTTAGTCTAAAATCGACTAAACCCACGTTCACAGCTTATCAGACTTTAGTGGCGAGCAATAATCAAAGTTGTGCTACAATCATGAGTTGCGCCGTGTGCAAATAGTAGTGGCTATTACCTTGGCAGAGTTCAGTAAAGTGTGATCAAGATCCAGAACAAGACAAAGCTTCCCTGCACTGAACATTCGATCTTGTTCTTGGATTCGTCGTTTCCTCTCATTCTGAATAGTGATACGTTGATCCTCATCCAAATCTTCTAGTAACTGTTCAAAGTCCCGATGTAAATTGCTACCACCCCAATGACTCGGCCCGAACCGAGGTTTACGCAACACAGGGTCCCAGGGGTGTAGATGATCTACCTCATCCAGAATAGACTCCCCAGAGAACACTTCACGAGCGTCAATTCCTTGATTCCTACTCGATTCTCTCTCTCTTGCATTGTTTCTCTCATCTACGACAGGTTCCTCTTCAACTGTCATGTTCTTTTGTTCAGTAGAGGGTTGCTCAGGAGCTAAAGTAGCATTGTTTGACTGGGTGCTGTTGTTAGAGCTCAAGCGAGGATCCCTCAGATTGAGTGGATTTTCCAAGGAGTTGATTGATGGCTGCTTGACCAAATCAGATGAAGTATTAGTAGGTAGTGAGGTTCCAGTTTCAATTTGGAGAGTCGTTCCAGAATCTGCGGCCTCGATGATCGGAGGACTCCTCTGATTAACTTGCACGATGTCAGCAGCACTATCCAACAGGGCACGACGTGGATCTCGAGGTCTCATTCGGTGTTTGCCAATATCCTGCTCCTTTTGCATTCAGAAAACCGACAACGATATTAGACATCATGTCAAAATCTTCTGCATGGATACAAGAGTGCGGTGGATTGATATTCAAAAAGAAAAGAAAAAAAAAAAAAAAAAAAAAAAAAAAGGCGTTGCATGCAGGACTCAAGCCTAGAACTGCATTACAAGTCCTAGGTATGGCTGCAGCAATATCATTTTCAGGTTTTCCAATCACCTCTTCTCCAGCCTGTCCCTCGGATTTCGTTGAATTAATGCCGAAAGGGTCTGGAGGTGGATTATTCTGTATACTCGTGACAGGCCCTGAGCCTAACATTTCAGTTGACCCACTGGCACTCGGAAAAACGATTTTCTTAAAATTAGTTCCTGCGGGCACATTGACCGGATTCTGTTTTCTGTCTGAAGGAGTCGGACTATCCAAGTCTACATCCATAGACTGTACACCATGGTTCTCGTGACCAGGCGACATTACAAACCCCTCTTCCAACCAACCTCCCATAGCAAATGTACCAGCAGTTGAATCCATGTTCTGCATCTCGTTGCTGGAACCTGAAGTCTTCATTCGTTTAGAAGATTCTGCCTCACTAGCGAAGTTTTCCCCTACTCGTTTATTGACCACAGCTTGCATTGCAGGCGGCCATGAGCACTCTGCTTGGGTAGTCAACTGTCGCAGTGGTATTTCCACCTCAGTGTGTCCGTTTCTTGGCTGTTTCCGTGGGTCACGACTCCTTGGTATCGATGTAACTGGACCAGAAACTAGTTGACTCTTTAGCTGCTCAAAATTCAAAGATGAGTCTTGATCGATTAGAGGGACAGTAGGGACTGATGCGTAATGCACACGTCCGGTGTCATCAATATGAGAATTTGAAGCCATGTAGAAAGGGGTACTAACTGGAGGCATCGTGCTTGGTAGTTTTGGGAGCAGGTGAGGCGGCTTATATCCCAATTGGCCATTTACGGCACCAGTAGTTGTATCTTGATTCTCAGGCTCATCATCGTCTTCTGAAGGGGTAGGACTTGCCAATCGAAAGTTCAGAGACACAGGTACAATTCCCACTTTGTTTTGCGGCTTTACTGTGCTGATTGTCTCAGAACTTGAAATTGGAAACCCTCGTTCATCTAATCTTACAACTTTTCGAGTCGTAAACGCGTAAGAAGTTTGGGAGGGAGGAGGACTCAGCTCCTCCCAATCTTCCTCAAGAAATCCAGGTCCATATGGAGATTTCACATCATACGTCAACCTCTTGTTAGCATTTGTCCATCCATTGGTTGTGGAGTAAGGAGGTACTGCACCAACTCCGTCAGAATATAAGCTGCCACTCGTTTGTGCAGCAACTCCATGGGCCACCAAGGATCTTCCGGTACTGCTGATACCCGAATAGCCCGGTGGCAATCCTGGGGACATAGATTGCTCAAGAGATAAATTCGACCCGTTCCAACCCCAACCTCCTACATCAATGGTGGGGTGGTCATTGCTCCCTTGTGAGAAATTAGAGAAGGCAGCAGCTGAGCTCTGGGCGTATGCTAAGGCAGCAGCAGCAATAGCTGCTTCAGCCAAGACATCTTTTTTGTCAGTCCCATGTTCTGAATTTCCTTCAAGAAATTTTGTTCCACATGGAGCCAATTTCGAATTTGAAATTGAAGCAAAAGCAGACATATCCCTCTGCCTAACTCCGAGTTCTTGCAAAGGCTCTACTGATTTCGGCGCTGCTTGCGTTTGTCGTGAACTGCCTTCCATTTGGTTCTTTCGGGACATTCTGGTAACATGATCCATAAATTCCTCAAGCTGCAAGGTTCACCACGAAACACTTCATCATGAACTCCGACCAGGCGTGGGATAAAACGAACTTATACACACGAAATGTTGAAAAGTCTTAAGATTAGATTGAGAATGTTAGATCAAATTACGTAAATTTGTGCATAAACGATAATCTCTTACAAATTCGCAAGCCTATGTTATTCATGGTTGTTAAGATCAAGATAACAACCAAAGATGACGAACAGTAATCAATCTATCAACAATGGAGCATATCTGCTAAACTCTCACCTGACGGGCCTGCTTAGATGAGAAAAACTTCAGGCAGGATCCAGTGACAAACTGCAGCAACCTGTTAAAAATATCCGATGAAATAAAAGTGAGACAGGAATGTTGAAATAAGGATATATGTTAAAGTTACCTATGAAGCAAATGAAATTGAAGGACAAAGGGAAGCAGTTGCAAGAACGCCCAACCTCGGAAAGGTATCTCTATCACGTTCTTGTTCTCTTCCGCTTGCTGTGTTCCAGACCTGCACGTTATCAAAAAGTTTGAGAAAGTAACTAGAACGAGGTGGCTGAAATGCTACAGGAATTAGTTTCTGGATTTGATATACCTGACAGGTACATCAACGGAACTCAATATCCACTACATCATTAAAGGAGTTACTCACAACATACACGGCCCGTAGACCTTGAAACACCTTCGTTGCCATCTTAGAAACATCACGAGGCATGTGATCTGCAGGTGATACACTTGAGGATATTCTCTGTTGTGCAAATGCTTTAAGAATTCTCGCCGCATTATCAAGTCGAGCACATGTGTTGATGAAGGCCCTGTCAACACCATACTTGACGTGAGTAGATCCGAAAGAATCATTCAAATTTGGCTAAATTTAAATGTAAGCCATCCCAACAGCTTGTCTTTGAAATGAGCCCACTCAGTAACGCATAGGTGACAGTATGATGCCGGGCATACAAGGATGGAAGTGACTCTACGTAACATTAAACCTGCAACAAGAAGTTCCATTTCAAATACTCCTACACCAGCTGCACTTTGGAGCGAATTTCACTGATGTGCAGGAAATGCGTCCTTGGACCTCTTGCGGTTGACTAATATATAGAAGAATGACGATCGTAGACAGGGTTGGCAAGTTACTCAGATTCGATGCAAATTACAGGAACTGCCAAAAAAAATTCTATTACATTTCAGTTCTTACTTTTGGGCATCTTTGACAGTCACGCTCTTCATTAATGCGGTCAAATGTGCAACTTGCTCTCGCCGATCTTCTCGCAACATAGTCTCCTCTCTTGATTTCTCTCGCTCGGCATCCTTTGTGAGGCGGTGTCGCAAATCATCGTCCGGGAGTCGTCGAAAACTAGATTCTCTCGATAAAGAAATGATATGAGAGGACGAATTCCTAAAATCTAGCCGAGATGACAATGTTCTCTTGAGATCGCCACTGGATATCCCGTCCTTGACAGGGCTATCTGCCCGAGGGTACTCGGATTTTCCTTGAGAGGATGATCTTGACCTCAAGTTATCATTTGGGAGCTCAATTTCCCCCTCCTCGATCTCTCCCTCTTCTCGGACTTCAGCAGCATTGTCGCCACTTTGTGATTGCCTTCGATTGGCACCTGAAGGGGCACTGCGGCGAGAATGGTCTGATTCATCACTAGAAGTTGAACGAAGAGAATTATCATTTCGATTTCCTCTCTCCCTACCATTCTCTCTGTCTCTCGCCCTTAGTCGTTCGGTTTCAAACAATCTGTCTTTCTCACTCCTCCTCACCCTCTCAGCTCTAGAATCTCGTCTTCTTGTAGGCGATCTGATTTTTCTTCTTCCCGTCCCACTGTTACGAGTGCCTCCTCTCTCGTCTTTATCGAATCTGCGTCGTGAATCTGTGTTCTCATCCAATTCAATCCAGTTCTTTGCTCTTCGAGGATCTCCACGACTAGAATTCCATGAGGCCTTTTTCATCGACCTCCTATCATACAACACTTGTCGCATATCATAACCTTCCGGAATCTTCAGTGTCAAATCCACCATTGTCTCTGGAAGTCCATTCTCTGTCTCATCATCTTCACCAAAACTTGCTCCATTATCTAGCAATTCTTCCGCCTCACCATCCCCATCCTGTTTCTCGACAAGCTTAAATCCCCGATTTCCTTGTACGGCTTGTGCCCAAGCGAAGTTATACAAGTTGGAATTGGGCGTGTAGCTAGTTGCGGCTGGTCTATAAGCCACCTTATCCCTCAACCAAACTTTCTCTTCATCTGTTCCTACATTTTCTGTGCTACTCCGTTGAGCGTAATCATCTCCACCCCGTGACGCCATAATCGCCCATCTAGATGGGTCATCTAAGCTGACCTTACTTCCCACTATTGAAGTTTCGCCAGTAACCTCTGCATCATCAGCCTCGGTGTCGTGTCCGGCTGATTTTTCTTCTTCACACACCTCTTCTTTCTCTGAAAGCTCTCCCTCCTCTTGATCTTCGCGGGGACCATCAACAGAAACCATTGCAGATTCAGATCGATCCTCGACCATTTCTAGCAATTCACCGCTCATTACAGTAGAAACGATTACATCTTCGTCTGTTTCAGAGGCCATTTCGTTTCAGTGATTTAGCTACAGAGAGCTCCACCGTCTATGTCAAGCTTGCCTAGAACCTAGCAGAGACATTTCGCAAATCGAGCCTGTACGCAATCTCACTGCAGGACACTGCACTATTCTTCATGCATGCCCCGCGCCACAGCTGAAACAGCAAGAATGCTGAACAACACTTCCAACGGCGAACCACCTCAGCGACAATCCAACCTACCCGCCCTGCGCTAGATGTGATCTCCTCAGTGTCCTCTGCTCGACGTGATTCTTCAATTACTTCACAAGTAAACCGATTCTTGCAGCAGACGCTGCACATCGGCATTACACGACACTAAATCGTCGCCAAACCTTCCCAACCACCATTAACCAACAAAAATCTTCGCCACATCAATGCATAAACAGATCGTTAACGTCCCAACTTGCTCCAGATACTCTCAAGCCCACTAGATCACACCATCCCCAAACCCTAGCAAATTCCTTGCGTCTTAAAGCCGAAACGTCACCACTAACGCCAAGTCAACTCTTTGAGATTATGGTTGCACATTACTTGCCAATTTACTGCTGACGAAGACGGTGAAACGACTTCAGACAGAGGAATGCTGTAAAGTTTCGCTTCAACCTCCTACGACTTGGTTGCTACGAACTCATCAGAGACATAGCACCGCCAAGCTTAGGCGTGTGGCGTTCGCTTCCAGGCGAGAGGGACAAGGCGAGTGACAAACGGCAAGAGGAAGGCAGCATCAGTGCCTTCGATGAAGCGCTTGTATGGAGAGACCTCACCATCGCAATGTCCGTGCGGAGAAGCGTGAAACCCTAGACCCGAAACCAGGAGCCAGGTCCTCAAATTTCAGGTGCTCATTGAGAGCCTCATTCATGTGCCGTTTTAGGTCTTCAACAGCAGTCCCAACGCCGAGAGGTTTGAATCCTTGAGAAGCGAGCGGCCCCAGGATCGGCGGATTTCCCAACACTGCCGAAGCAGTTCTGCGTGCGCAATTGTTAAGCAATCGCTCCAAGACCTTCAAATTGTTCCTGTGAGCGCCGTGTGCTTCGTCGCAGTAGGCACAAACAACCTCAGATGAAGCAGGTGAAGGACTATCCGTGTTCTAGATTCGAATCGCCTCTTGGAATTGTAGAACAGGAGTCTGCGTTTGAGACATAAAGAACATGGCGTCGACCTTGTACCACACTCTTCACTTATACCTACACTTCAAAGGATCCTGCAAACAGCGACTCCTCCTTCCAGTAACTGCTTTTTCCCCCATTTCCTAGCTTTTCCTGTCCAAATTTTCCATGAAACAAATTTTACTTTGGGTCACAATTGGTTGGCGTCATCGAGAGTACTCGGCTCAAAGTGGTGAAATCCGCCTTCTAATCGTGGAAACGGATGCTGAACCTTGTGCGGTTGTGTTCCAGGCGTAGATTTGGTTGGAGATGGATTCTAGGCGGGGGGGAGAGGTGCAGGAGGTCACGTCCATAGCGTTGTTGTTGCTGTCGTAGTGCTTGCTCATGCCTCCATGGCGACTCCGTCCTGAAGGAAGGCTCACCTGCTCTCCCCTGTGTCTTCGTGGTGGCAGAGCCAAGTCAAGCCAAGTCAAGCCAAGCCAAGCCAATGAGTGCAGTGGACTTGCAAAGCCCATCACACAACAAACACCACGGCGACTCTTTCTTGCTGCTTTGTATGTATGTATGTATGGCCGGATACACATCCATTGCGTCTCATCCTTCGCCCTTCCCTTTTCCAAGCCACACACAAGTGTGCTCCTCAGCATTGTCTTTCAAAAACTATCTTAATTCCTCTCATGAGAGCTTCCTTGATCACTGAGCTTATTCTTAACTAGCATTTGTGCTTTTATGTGGTAAAATATAAAATCACTCAAAATTTGGGAACAAAAAAGAGCTATAATGATATTAGGAGTCAATAAATAAAAATAAAAGGTAGAGATCATGATAATTGCCTTCTTGATTTTGGCTCTGATTTTGAAGGATATAAGCATTTATATCAAATTTGATATAACCACTTCTAAGAGGTAATTATATAGAATATCCACTTCTTATATAAAAAGATATCTTATTGTGGCACAGTTGCATTAGTGAGCAGGTTGTGCAGAGCGTTGCTAAAGCAATTTGGCTAGCAATAAGTGGTAGTGATTGTAGTTGGCTACCATGGGGTTGCAGGTGGGCATGAGGAAATTTTGGAATGTTTAAAATTTAAAATGAAGAGCAATATATCAAAACATATTAGCAACATTTCTATGGTAATATAAATTAATCTTTCATATTAGCAAAGATTTATATTAAATATTGACCATTGCTAATATCAATATTAATCTAAAAAAGATATAAGAGCTTGTATACTTTTGGATTTTTTAAGTTTGATCTCTTCTATTACTACAATGAAATATTAATATAAAAATATACAAATACACTTTATTAAGAAAAGAAATTGTACTTGCAAACTACAAGGTGAAATGTAAATTTGCAATAACATGTTACAAGCAAATATTCAAAACACTCTGATTTAAAAAAAATATGCACATAAATTTTATTAAAATTGATCCATTGAAATTGCACGTAAATTAAAAAAATAAAAATAAAAATAAAATAAAAGACAAGTCACTCTTTGATACAAATCTAAAATATCTTCAAATTAAACAACACATATGAAATCAATCATAAAATTTACTTTGAAAATAATAATAATTTATTAATACAAGGAATATGTTTGTATATATTAGTATATCAATTAATATATTCATAAATATTTAATTTATAAAAAATAAATAATAAAATTATATGTAATTTAAATATAAATATTTTGATTTGTAATATTTATAAGAAATATAAAATAGATGTTATAAAAAATTAAAATATATATTCATATTGGTGATAAAGATTGAAATACTTAAGTCATAGTCTTTCATAATCTTTTATAATAACTTGTCAATGACATGAATCTCAAAGAAAGAAAACTTGATATATTCTTGTGTGACTTGAAAAGATTAAAAAGTCATGCAAAGATGGTAATATATTGAACTAGAATAGCTATTGCTAAAGACAAAAAGACTAGAAAGTCTTGAAAGAAGATTAGAAAGTCTTGAAATAAGATTAAAGATTATAATGATATTTAAAAAAGTGAAGAAGGCTTGACTCTTGCCCCCATATATACTATCTAATTAAAAGCTACATCACAATATTCTATAAGACCTCCAATACTTTGAAAAACACATGTCTTAACTTGCAAGGCAAGTTTTCTACATATATATCATATAATTAACTTATTCTACAAGCTATCAATATGTATGGCATGTGGCTAATTTCTTGACCATATTTTTAATCTATCAATTAATTGCAAATATATATAAAGTCAAAGCTACATTTATGAAGCTTTTAGGAAACTTTTCTTGAAGTTATTATGAAATTAATTTACTTATACCTACTTCTATCTAATCATGTAGGTAATTATTGAAATAAATATGTATGTCCATTTCATTACTTCTTCTCTTTCTAAGGATGAATTCTACGAGGAGTGGTCGTCACACATTGAAGAATCTAAGATGCGGTGAATTGTATTTGCCACATACTTTGATCTTTGTTCTTTTCAAAGATGGTAAATAAGTTCTCTCAATTATCAATAGTATTTCATATGAAGGCAAGAAGCCTACCTTGTTATTTTATCCATATTAAGGTCTTTATAACTCCCTTCAAATAAAATATTTAAAATACTATTAGGAATCATTTCTATCTCTAATAAAATCACCAAACATTGGAAGTTTCTTCTAAGATTGTGATATTAAATACGTTGTATCTTGCCATCTATTCAAAGAAAAACATGTCAATCTTCAAGTTCTTCATCTCCATTATATCGTCTTTAAGGTTGTAACAATTGCAATGTCTCATCTGATAAGTCAGCAAATGATAGCTCTTGAGTTAAATTTGTTAATTTTTTATTTTCTATCTTGTTAGCACTACAAATATACAAAAATTATAAATAAAGATAAAAGGTTAAATGATATCTTTCCTTTATCTTGTTTCTTTTAGAGCAAAGATTTACAATTCTTCATATTGATTTTGATGGATGTTATCAATAAAAAGATACAACTTTCTTTGTTATATTTACAAGATTTTCTGCTAGCTTCTATGTGTATTTATTAATATCATATTCCTACCAATGAATAAGATATTCCAACCTATTTTGGTAGTGTCTTCAATCTAAGACTTCTTCCACCTTAAACTCTTCATTATTATCCACTTTTATAAGAGAGGGTGGTATTTGTCTTACTTTTTAGATATTCATTATCTTATATGACTCAAAAAAAAAGACTTGGAGTATAAGATAGATCTTCTTAGACTCTAATAGATGTAATTGATAAGCAATATGATTGATTTGTTCACAAATAGAAAATGGTCTAAGCTTATTGTAATCCAATTTATCACAAAAGCAATTAGTCTTATTATTATGACAAAGTAATCATACCTTATTGCCAATATAGAATTGAGATTGTTCCTTGCAATAGGCATTTGTGTTAAACTTTTGTATTTCTTCACCTTCTTTTAATTATACATTTATTATTGTATGTAGCTCAAATAAATAATTTATCAAATCTTCTACTACATAATTATTAACTTTTAATAAATCAAAAGCATCAAGTCATAGATGATAATCATAATTAATTAAAAAAAGATGTTCATTACATAGAAAAATATATCATGTTATTATAAGAAAACTTTGCTAATAACAAAAGAATTATTCAATCATCTTGCTAGTAATTGATGGAATACTTCAAATACTATTCTAAAACTTGATTTATGTAATCTATTTGTCCATCAATTTGAGGATAGAAAGCCAAAGATAGTTTTATGTCTACCTTTAGAATCTTAAAAAGAACTCTCTAAAATCTTGATACAAATAGAATCTCTTTATTTAATATAATATTGATTAGTAATACATGATAGTCAAAGATGTTGTCAAAAAAAATCTTGGTTGTTTTTTTTACTTGTGATAGATTTTGTATATGGTACAAAATGTGCCATCTTAATTAAAAAAAAAAAATCTACTATGACAAATATAAAATCATGTAAATCAAAGACCAAAAGATCTCTAAAAAAATCCATAATAATAAAAGACTATGATTATTTTGAAATAGGTAATAATTAAAAAAGTCCATAAAGTAGATATTGAAGAGTTTTTGAACTTAAACAAATATCACATGATTATAAAAAACCTTTGACTATCCTTCATATTTAAAGCCACCAAAATTCTCTACGTATTAACTCCAAAATCTTATTAAATCCAAAATATTTGGTTTTAGGAAGATCGTGACAAGCTTAAAGATAATGTAATCATGCTTCGTCATCTGAAATGTATAATTTTTCTTTTAAAACAAGACTAGACTATCTCAAAAATTTAAGATCCTTCTAATCTATAGTAACATAAAGCCTCATCACAAAATAGAACCAAACTGAATGAAACTAAATAGAATAGAACATGAAAGACAAAAATAAGTAGATGAAAATACAACAGAATTAAACTGAACAAAAAGATGGAAAACCAAATTTTACTAAAAAAAAGAATATAAAGCCATACTTGATTAGATGCCCGAAAAGGCCCTGGCTAGTCCTATTTATACCTTATCCTATTACCTTAGACTTTCTAAAATGTTTTCAGGTGGTGGGTACTATTTAGATAATTGTCCTAAATTCTTTCTAGAATTTTCGATGGTGGATCCTACCTAGATAACCATTCTAAGTCTTTTCTAAAATATTCCATAGTAGATCCTATCTGATATACTAATTTAATCTCAATTCTAAAAACTTCCATGATCCTAACTATCCATATAATTATCTTATTTATACCTTGTTACAACTAATTCTCCTCCAATAATGCGAAACATCTTTGTTTCATTCTTGATTATATCTCCAAATTGTCTCTTGGCAATAGGTGTAGTTTTATGCAGGTTCTCAATTTGTATCGTGAATAGATAATCTTTTCAAAGAACTTTGTAGTGAAGTTGTGGATGTCTACTCCCACTGCAAAAGTAGTGATGCTCGAAATTGCTGTCCACTTCATGTTCTTGTTAGTCATCAACGAGAACCAGTAGTAGTAGTGGTTGGTATCAATCCAAAAAGTACTTTGACTCAATATGAAATTTCTTGAGTTGTAAAACATGGAAGACTAAATGGACCCAAATATGTGGCAAAAGATCGAGGTGATATACAACATTAGAAATTATTGCAAAAATATAGAAAGATTTAAGCCACCGAGGTGCTAGTTTACAGATTTGGATTGATATAGCAAGAAACAAGTTGGCATTAGAGAGTAACACGTGATCACCTTCCCGGAAGGTCTTAATTTACTAGTTGTTATCAACATACTGCTATTGTCAATTCTAAGCAGTAAGAAGGTGGTATTGTGCTTCTTGTA